AAGGAGAGGTCTGCTGCACCATGTGGGTCAGCTCCCTGACTGGGGATTGAACTCATGCTGCAGTGGCTGGCTTCATAATGTTATGCTTTAACCTATTGAACTCTCAGGGTGGGCCCCCCCTTTTTTAAAGGTTTTTTTGTAGGTTACTTTTATATAGAACTGGGATGCAGTCACGAGATGTGGACGGCCAGAGGATTCACCAGCGACAAAGTGGGGAGCAGAACTGGTGGATCCACTGAAATACACTCTTAGGGGAGCAGCTGGCAAGACAGGAGAGGTCTGCCATGCCATGCTGATCACTCTCTGGCTGGGAATAGAACTCAGGCCATTGTCAAGGTGGTAGCCCTGAGACTTAACCCCTAGGCCACCAGGGAGGCCCTACTCTCATTCCTTACTGATTTCATCTTGTCCCTTGGTTTTAAATGCTTTCTACACTGGTAATTCCATAATACATGTCTCCAGGCCAAGCTTCTCTCCTAAAATAACTTGTAGTTGAATCCCGTTCTTGCTGTTTCTCTAAGAGGCAGCTAAGCCACGTCTAAAACCAAGGCCCTTGATCTCAGCTCCCATCTGCTCCTTCAGCTGTGTTCCCCATTTCAGTAAAGCGCAATCATTGTTCCAGATAGGGCTAAAACCTTGGAGGCAATTTATTTTTTAATTAACTCTTCAACTGAAGTATAACATACATTCAAAAAGAGCAGGACTCCTAAATCAACACACCAGGTTGCCACCACCCAAGTCAAGAAAAGCACGTTGCCAGGAGCCTCTTGTGTCCTCCGTCTCAGCCCCCCTCTGCTCCAAACTCCTCACTTCTAATAGCTTTGCTTGCTTTTTTGGGCTCTATTTAATGGAACAATGTGCTATGTATTATTTTATGCCTGGTTCCTTTTGTTGGACATTATGTTTGTGAGATTGAATCAATTTGTGTCTATACATAGTACATGCATAACCTATCTAAATTTATTATTGTTTCGTTTCATTACTCTGTGGTGCTTCATTTTATGACTGTAGTACACTTTATTAATTCTACTTTTATTTCTTTAGCTGTTTTTTTTTTTTTAACAATTTTATTTGTTTTTGCATAGAGGAACTGGAATGTCAGGCAGAGGTGCTCAGATGAGAGGGTTCACCAGAGACAGAGTGGGGAGCAGAGCAGGTTAATCCACCAAAACAGACTGCTGAGGGAGCAGTGGGAGAGACAGGAGAGGTCTGCTGTGCCATGTGGGTCAGCTCCCTAGGGGGCCAGGCGTTGAACTCCTGCTGCAGCAGCTGGTGATAGCTCAACAGCACTGAGACTTAACCCCTGGGCCACCAAGTAGGCCCCACCTCCTCATTTATATGTGTCATTGATGGTCTTCACTTTAGTTGTTCTGGAGGTGGATAGTGATGTCTCATTTTGGTTTTACTTTGCATTTCCCCGATGACTAATGAGGTTTGGGATGCTGTTTCCACTATCCCACAACTGTTTCACAAATCATTCCACAACTCAGAAGCTTAAGCAGACAACAGTCCTTCTATCATCTTGCTTAGTTTCTAGGATCAGAGTTTCAAGAGGTTGGCTGATCAAAACTGGCTTGGGTCGCTTACCTATGCAGTCAGAGGGGGCTGGCCAGATAGCTCTCTTGTTGTGTGGCTCACGGCCTGTCCAGGTGGGCTTCCTTTAGTCCAGTGGCTTCAGACCAGTCAGGCTGCTCGGAGGGTGCCTAAAGTCTCAACAACAGGGCAGTCCGGCGGAGAAAACAGCAGCTACATTCGCTTTTATGCTCTGTCCTCAGAAGTCACATAACATCCTTTCTGCCATATTCTATTGACCTAAATAATCACAAAAGTCCACTAAGATTCAAGGGGAGGGGGCATAGGCTCTGGAAGACTGTGAAAGTCACACTCTGGGGAACATGTGGAATGGGAGATACTGTTGCCACTATCTAAGCAAAATACAATCTGTCACACACATTTTCATGTATCTATTGGCCACTCTACACAGTGCCTGAGTCTTATCACTCGTCTCCCTTTCTGCAGGGTTATCTGGTTTGGCCTTATTGACTTGTAAAATATATTCTGGATGGATATTCTCCAGATATAGGTGTTGCAAATATCTTTTGCAAATGAGCTTGTATTTTCTTAATGGATCTTTGAGTGCGTGTATTAACTGAAAATTTAATGATGATAGTTATAGATTCATAAGCAGTTATAGGAAATAATATGGATATATCCCCTGCAATCTTTGCCCAGTTTCCCCAATGTGATATCTTCAAATCTACAGTATAATACAACCACAGCTAAGTATCACAGGATGTTGACATCAATACAATCCACCCATTTTATTCAGGTTCCCTATTTGACTTGCGCTCATTTGTATGTGTATAAATTCCTATACTATTTCATCACCTGTACGTGTTCATGTAGCCATCACTATGGCAAAAATATGAAACCATTCAAGTGGAAGGATCCCTAATCTTTATAACCGCCCGCCATCCCCCTATTACTCCCACCTCCCTAACCTGGTATTTGTCCCCAGCAGCCATCAACTTCTTTCCATTCCTAAAATGTTGTCATTTGAAGAATGTCATACACTGTATATCCATTAGGATGACTTCTATTAAAAAAAATAATAAGAGCTGGTGAGAATGTGGGGATTGGTACCTTTGTATACTGTTGATGGGAATATTAAATAATTTTGTTACTATGGAGAACAGTATGGTGGGTCCTCAAAAATTTTTAAATAGAATTATCAATTACCACTTGTGGGTGTATACCCCAAAGATTGAAAGGAGGTTGGAGATACTCACCTATGTTCATAGTAGCATTAGCATTATTCACAACAGTGTCCATTAGCAGATGAATGGATAAACAAGGTGTGGCATACACAAACTATGTAACATTATTATTTTTTAAGATTTATTTATTTGTGCATACAGAACTGGGGGACAGGCCAGAGGAGCAGGGATGGTGAGAGGATTCACCAGAGACAGTGTGGGGAGCATAACAGGCAGATCAACGAAATACACTGCTGAAGGGAGTAGCGGGCGGGTCAGGAGAGGTCTGCAGCGTCATGTGGTCACCTCCAGGGCCAGGGATCAAACTTGCAGAGCTGCACTTTAACTTGCTGTGCCACCAGGGAGGTAATTCTAACATATGCTACAACATAGATATACCTTGAGGACAGTCTACTGAGAGAAAGAAGCCACTCACATAAGGGCAAATACTATATGCTACTTCCATGGGGTATCTAGAGTAGTCAAATTTATAGAGATAGAAAGTAGACAGGTGGTTGCCAGGGGCTGGGGGGAGATAGGTGCAGAATCAGAGTTAATCATATACATTGCTTAATGTATATGGAATTCCAGTTTTGCCTAAGGGGATAGTATTAAATAAGTCTGAAGGAGCATGACCAGTACTGGATGGGGTCACATATGTACAATATAGAGGAACAGTCATGCACATGTGGAGTATGGAGAAACAAAACCAAGGATTAAACCAAACAAAACCAGTAACAAACCTGAGAAATCTGTGAGGGGCCTTCCTGGTGGTTCATGGGTTAAAGACACAGCACTATCAAGCTTTCAACAGCCACTGCAATATGAGTTTGAGCCCCAGCCAGGGAGCTGTCCCACACAGCACAGCAGACCTCTCACCTGCCCACTGTTCTTCTCAGCAGTGCATTTCAGTAGACCTGCCTGTTCTGCTCCCCACCCTATCTCTGGTGGATCCTCTCACCCCTCACACCTCTGGCCTGCATCCCAGCTCTTGTATGTATAGGTCCTTGGTATAGGTCCTTAACTGCTTTTGTTAAATTTATTCCCAAGTATTTGATTTTTTTGTTTGTTTGTTTTCACTATAAAGGGGGAGGTTTTCTTGATATCTTCTTCAGATTTATTGTTTGCATACAGGAAAGCTCCTGATTTTTCTGTGTTGATTTTGTATCCTGCTAATTTACTAAAATGATTGATTATTTTGATTAGTTTTAGCCCAAAAAGATGACTGAATCAAGAAGATTTGGTATATATACACAATAGAGTATTACTCAGCAATCAAAAAAGATAAACTCATGTCATTCACAACAACAGGATGGAGCTGGAAGGGATCATGCTCAGTGAAATTTGCCAGAAAGAAAAAGAAAAATAGCGGATGGTTTCTCTTAGAGGAAACATGTAGGGTACCCAAATAAAGGGTCAGGGGGAAAAAAAAGTAATTATAACAAAGTAAAACCAAAATCAACAGGCAACTATAAACAAGAAGAGACATTATTCCGAGAGGGGGAGAAAGAAACTGGACTAAAACAGGGGTGGAAAGAACACCAGAGACTATGGTGATGGTGCACCGATGAATTGGTGGTGGGAACTCCTTGGGGACCATACATGATAAAGCATAGTATGAAAATGAAAATGAAGAATGAGATACAAATTAACTAGAACATCCTACCAGCTCCACTGACTTGAAACCCCAACAATACACTGAAAACTCACTAAGAGCCAAGGAACCAGCCTTTAATTTTTATTTTGTTTCTCTCACCTTTTTATTTTGTTTTTCTCTCTAAAAGCTAGGGATTTGTTTTGTTCACCGGTCCTGCTAGCATGGAGGCCCATGCCTGCTGCACAGCAAGCACATACATTTGAAAAGTAAGAATAGTGAGGCCCAGAGAAGATTAAGTTACTTGCCCAAGATTATACAGGTAATAAACAACAGAGCTGAAATGTCAACCCAAGCAGCCAGAGTTCATACTCTTGAGAAGTGGTCTCCATTACTGACTAGGGCTCAGGGGGGCACAAAAGTGAAGGAAGTCTAGCAGCCCCCCTTGTCTTTTGCCTGCACTGGGGCCAGTTCTCCCAGGGCAGCTCTTCAGGGAATCACAGCCCTGCCCTAGGCCATGAATGGGGCAAGGCCAGTGTACTAATGCCCCCCAGTGGCTAGAGTAGGGAAGAACAGGTAAAGTGCACCTGTCAGGCTGAAGCGAGTGCTGGGGAGCGCAGTTGGTTCTCCCCTCACCGAAGACACAACGCTGGGTGGCATAACAGATCTTTATTTTACCAGAAGGGTCAGGCAGCGGGGCAGTGCAGCATCCAAGCCCCAGACCAGACATGCAGCATCCACATGCAGGAACAGCTACACAGGCTGGGGCAAGGCCAGGGGTAGGGGACTGGGACTGTGGGACACCATAGCGTCCTCGCCAGGATGTGTGGGCCCTGGGTGCTCCTGCCTCCACTGTAACAAGGAGACAGAGGACTGGGCTGCCTCCCATGGCTAGAACCCCACCACTCTGGCCAGAAGAAAGATGGCACAGGAGTCTGGCCAGTCTATAGCACTAGATTCTGTACTGGGTCAGCACAGCTTTGCCCGTAGAAGGGCCCAATACCCAGGAAGAGGTCTACACGCTTTGTAGTCCACAACAGGGCTAGACCCTGACCCCAGAAAGGCTTAGCGGAGTTGGGACCAAGCCCCACTCCACCTAGCATGAAGGGGACTTCCCTGAGCACACAGAGGAGCCTCCTAAGGCAGTAGTAAATTGAGGGAGCTGCTACAGACAGGAGGCCTTGCCTTTGTGCCCCAGGTGGGGGAGGGAGAGGTCAGGTATGAGAGCAGACCTGGGGCTGGGCAGGGGTGTAGTGAAGGGCCAGAGCCCTGGGCCTGGAGGCCACAGCTACCAAAGCCTAGAGGGGCTGGGGCCTGAGGCCTGGGGCTTCCTGGGGCAGGGTTTTGGGTTGGGAAGACCAGGCCAGGAGAGGGGAGGGTGGCCATCTTACCCTGACCCCTTGCACCCATGCTGACCTCTGGCCAGGGCCACAGGGAGGACAGACAGATAGATGCACAGAGAACTTCAAGGCACCAGGATTCTGAGAAGTAGCAGGGCCACCCCCCGCAGACAGTGATTATAATAAACATCTTCAGAGCTTATACTACACGATGTATATACAGGGTGGGAGGAGGATGAAAGAGACACCAAAAAGGGAAGAAACACACAGGCAGATGAGGGTGAAGAGACAAACCAGGTGGACATGGCAGTGACAGTGAGGGTGTGGGGCAGAGGAGAGGCGGGAGACAGAGATGGGAGCGAAGGGAAGACAGCCAGAGATGGCCTGAACAGGCAGCACTTCTGGTCCCTACAAAATAAGGCACCAGAGTCAGTAACGTTCCCATTGTCCCTGTGGTATTAAAACAGGTGCTGAAGGGTGCTGGAGGGGCAGGCGGCTGCTGAAGTGCATGGGCCTTCCGGAGTCTCACACCTGTGCCCCGGCGGCCTTCTTGATCAGGGGTATCTGCAATGACGGAAGATGCCGTAAGTCTAGACTCCGGGCCCGCTAGCTCCCCTTGAGCCAGTATACTGCGCCAGCCAGGTAACCCCACTGTCGCTCGCCAGGCACACACCTTAGACAGGTCCACGCCCGTGAGGGCGTGCACAGAAGCAGGCAGCTCTGCCAGCAGCCGGTTCACTTCCGACGTCACCTTGCTGTTGTCCCCACTGAGGACCACAATCTCATCGACTTTGGTGAGCGGGGCGGCAATTTTGGCAGCAATCTAGCAGATGGGGGGAAGAGGAGAGATTGGCTAGTGTCCCTGTCCACCAGCCTGCCCAGTGTCTCATCCAAACCCCAAAGCAGCCTGTGGCCTGGGCTTGCCAGCCATGGTCAGAGAGACCCAGAGAGCCAGATGTGAGCCTAGGCCTGTTGTCAGTGTTACTGATGAGGCCAGAGAAGTTCTGACACTTGCCCAGAGAGTCCCGCCGCGGGGTGGAGCCTCACCTGCGGCAGGGCCTCCAGCACCAAGGCCATCTTGGCCGAGTCCCCGTACTTCTGGTAGGCCTCAGCCTTGAGCTTCATCCGCTCAGCCTCTGCCTTGCCCATCGCCTCGATGACTGCCGCCTCCGCCTCTCCAATTTTGCGGATCTTCTCAGCCTCTGCTTGTGCCAAGAGGACCTGCTTCACCCTGGGGGGTGTCAGGCCAGCAGGGTCAGTGGGGACTGCCAGGGTCCCCTCGGGTCTTGTCTGGGGGTCAGCAAGCCCTCAAGCCCTCTGTTTCGGCAGGTGTAGAGTTGATGAGGGGAGGAAGGAGAGTTGCCTTGGTCTCTGATTCTGGTCAGGGAGAGGCCCCAGGCTCCCAGGTGCCAACGGGGGAGGGGACTAGCACCATGCCCTGTGTGCCAAGCTCCGCATCAGGCCCCACCCCCCTTCACAGTGAGAGCACAGGCACGGGAGGGCCGAGGGCCGGTGCTGGAGGCTGCTCCCAGGCTATGGTCAGGAGACCGGAGGGCTCTCCCGGGTGGCAAGGAGCCTGGCTCGCTCCAGCCCTGGCTCCCGGGGCACTCACTTTTCCCCCTCCGCGATCTGCTGTATGCGGTGGGCCTCAGCCTCGGCGGGGCGGCGCACCGTGGCGATCAGCTCCTTGTCTGTGCGCAGGATCTCCTGTGCCTCCACTGCAATCTGCTTCTTGCGCTGTACAACCTCGATCTCAATCTCTTCCTGCCTGATCTTCTGTTGTTCACGGGCTCCTTGCAGTTCATAGGCCAGCTGGGCCTCGGCTGTCTATGGCGGGAGTGTGACCGGCACATCAGAGGCTGGTCGCCGAGCCCTGAGCCCTGAGCCCTGACCGGGGGGCCCTGTGGCGTCTCACCTTGATGTTGACCTCCTCGCTGAAGGCTGACTTCTGCAGCTCGAAGGCTCGCTTGGAGTCAGCGATCTTGGTGTCTGCCATGAACTTCACATCCAGCATCTCCTTTTTGCACTCGGCTTCCTGGGAACAGGAGGGGCAGGTGCTGAGGGTCCCCTGAGTGACTAAGCTCCCACCGCCCCAGAGCTCCCTTCCTCGGGGGCAGGAAGGAAACCACACACACCCGGATGCCAGCGTCCCGCTCGGCCTCAGCCACGCCAATGTCAGCATCTCTCTGCACCACAGCAGTCTGTGTCTTGCCCAGGGAGCTCAGATAGTCCACTTTGTCATAGACATCCTGGAGCAGGAAGAGGAACAGTCACGGGAAGGGGAGAGGCCCCCTCCCACTAAGCCCCCCTCTTGGACAGGTGCCGGGGCCCGGGGCCCTCCCGCTACACCGCACCTTAATGGTGAAGCTGAGGATCTCGATGCCCATGCGTCCCACATCAGGGGCTGCCACCTCCCGCACCAGTTTGGCAAACTGGTCCCGGTCCTGATAGATCTGCTCCACAGTTAGGGTTCCTAGGGGCAGAGCGTCACAGGTAGGCTCCCCCGCGGCCCAGACAACGGGAGGATACCTGCACTAGAGGCCTCAGTACACGCAGGACCGTGTGGTCTAAGCTGTCTTCTGGGGCTTCTTCTAACAGAGTTCAATGCTGAGTCTCCTTATGCGGAATCCCGGCTGGATGAGGAAAGTGTCTACGCAGCCCCACGTGTCTCACCAGACTGGCAGTCCCACACAAACCCCGACACCCTCGGTGTACCCCCAAGCCCCCTGCATTCAAGTTGCCCAAGGTTTTGAAAGGAAATACTCAGAAGAAAATGTTTCAGCTAGAAGCCCGAGGAACGGACGGCCCCTGCCCGGCGCTGCCAACCCTTGGGCCCCGCCGGGAGCCTACCGAGGATGGAACGCAGGTGACCCTCCAGGGTCTGGAGCACGACATTCTTGATGTCCTGCACGTTCTTGCCCAGGAACTGCTCGCAGGCCACAGCGAGGAGCTCCTTCTCCGTCATGATCTTCACCTGCCGACGGTCACAAAGGTCCCTGAGCCAGGTTGCGGGAGGAAGAGGGAGGCCCCAGCCCAGAGGTTGAGAGGGTGATGGTGAGCCCCCTCACCCCCCTTCTCAGACCGGGAGGTTAGGACTGGGAGGGGGCGGAGTCTGCTTGGGGCCTTTAGCGGGAGGGACACACAAGGAATTCTCCCAGGGAGATATATTTCATCTTCACTGGCTGTGCTGGGGGGGCCTCTGCCCGCCACATATAGCAGGCCACTGAGGATGAGAAGTGAGCACCACCCTGGGCATCTGGGCTTGCCGCCACCCTTCCAGCCCACCGCCCCCTCAGCCAGCTCCTCTTGTGCAGGCTCCCTGCAGTAGGGAGACCTGCAGGTTGAGGGACAGAAATTACAAAAAGAAGCACAAACAGGGATACAGACGGATAGAGACTAGGTGAGAACGCCTGGACAGGGCGGGGCACTGGCCCGGGTGGCCACTGAGGGTGGGCATCCTCTTGCCTTTTCTCTGAGGCTCTAAGTTAGCCCTCCAGAGTCTATTACATGGCTGAACCTCACTGCCCTAGGAAGCGGAGAGTGCAAACGGGCAGGAGGTCCCACGCCCAGGTACCGAGCTGGAAATGTGCCGAACCTTGCCTCCAGGGCCCAGTGCTGGCCTGCCTCCTACAGGCTCGCCCTCTGACCCCACCCCTTCAGCCCCTACCCCGGGAACAGGGAGAGTCTGGATTCTGGGGCTTGGCATTCTCAACACCTGCAAAGAATGGGGTGGGGTTAGTGAGACAAGAGCCCTCTGAACTGCTTCTGTCCCTCGAAGGCCCACTGAGGAGAAAACGGTGTCTGTTAGTCCTGCAGGGTGGCCAGGAGAGCACCCTGAGCGAGCACGTTCCAGTGGTGAAAACGACCCTCTCCTGGAAAGGGGGGTAGGGACAGGGGTTCTGGAGAGAGACTGCCCCTGGCTGCTGTCCTCTCCTCCTCCCCCCAAACCCCAGCACGGGGACGAGGTGGCTCAATGGACATGCGTGGGGCTGCTGAGTTACTATACCTGGGCGACACCCGTCACAGTTAAAGCTACCCCCTCGGCCGTCTCTACGTCCTCGCAGCGGGGCTGCAACGTCATAATCTCTAGGGAAATCCTGCCAAAAAACGCAAAACAGGGGCATGGGTCCCGGGGCCCAGGGCCGGGACTGTGGGGAGAGAGTCCAATGTCGCATTGCTGCGGCCGGGACAGCCCAGGGGTTCTGTTGCTGAGGGGGGTGGAGAGGACTCTCCAAGGGGTCTGAGCTGGGGGCATGTAAGGACATGGGGTGGGTAGTAGGGTGGAGTGGGTGCAGCTGGCTCCTGGGGAAGGATTCTAAGTATCCCCATGTGCACATATGGTTTCTACTTAAACCAGCCTGGCTTGAAGAGTGGGAAAAGGAAGGAAGATGACTTGGTTGTGTGTGTGGGCTGGGAGGGCTCAGGAAAGCCCATGTATAAGCTGCGTGTGAGTCTGGAGATGCAGGTAAGTGCTGGTTCGCAGGCAGTGCCCTGCAGCGGATGCCTGCTGAATACCCCCATGGCCCTCACCCATCCCTTGGATCTGCCGAGCACCGAGAAATGCACCAGGGGCTGCCTAGAAAGCCCTGTCTAGAGTCCATGCGGGATACACCCTCTGCTGGGCTCAGAAGAGGCTGATCTTGTCCTGGCCCGTGCCAGGGACGCCCTTCCTGCTCCCTCTACTTGGCAACAGGTGTGACTTGAAGGCCACCCTCTGGGGTTGGGCCCACGTGGAGAATGCAGACTGGGGTCACACTACAGCTTCCGGCCAAGGAGCACGAACCCTAGAGAGCTGTCCTGCCCAGACAATCAAGCCCATACCAGCCAACTGATATGTGGAATAGTGGGTTTGGAGGGGGGCAGCACTATTTTGTGGGGGTGCCGAGGGGGCTGTGGCCCCACCCATTCCTGACAGAGGATGCCAACTTCTTAGGTCTGCGCTGAAGCCCGCGCTCCATGGCTACGAGGTGGGGAAGTCCCTTCCCCAGTCAGGGAGGGCAGGGCGTGAGAGGGGGGCTTTTGCCTGAGAAGGCTGAAGGGAAATTTCATGTAGGGGGTAAGGGGTGGGGGAGAGGACATTTAGGTCTTTTCCAGCCAGAACCCCATGACAGGCAGGCTCTGAGGGGGCGGGGGCTTTTTGATGCTCACTGCTGCACCCCCAGTGTCTGGGACTGAGCAGGCGCTCAGAGAGTGGGTGAATGAAACAATGAGCAATGAGATGAGAACCCACACAGTACCAAGAAAGCACCTAAAGTCACTAACAAAAGTTGCTGAGTGCCCTGGCTCAAGAGTGCATTTCGTTAGCTATGACTGCCTGGCAATGAAGCGGAAGACACCAGATCACTTGCTTTGCAAAGGGAGACCCTGTTGATGATAAAGCTTGAGTTTCTTTAGCACTTCTTTCCCAGAAATCCTAAAACAGCCTCCTATCACTTTCTTTGGTTTTCTGATATCTCTACCAGGCACAAAGAGGGCATGATTCTCCCCACTTCACAGATGGAGAAACTGTCGCCTAGTGACAAGAGCTGATTGGCTCAACAAAAGACCTGGCAGAGGGGAATGGTAGAGGTGCTTTATCCTCAGGTCAGCCAAGAAACTGACATCTGGCTTTGAAGGAAGGAGGGCTGGGGCCTAACACTGGGGTCCCAGGCTGGACGAGGGACTGGCAAGGGGTCTGTGGTGCCTGGGGGACTAGGACCTGAGCAGTAGTTAGGACTGAACTCCCACTGCGGCCTGTCCAGCTCTGTCACATAATCGGAATGGGTGGACTTGGGCAGAGCTTCCGGAACCCCAGTAGCAGCCCTAATAGGTGAGGGCAAGGAAGGGAGGGATATATACAGGGTCCATCCTGGCACCCAGAGCAGCAGAGGTGGGGACAGAGGGAGGGAGGCACACTCTCAGGAGGGGACTCCGTCTGGCTCCTGCCTGCCTGGTCCCGCAGAGCAGGAAGAGAGAAAGTTAGACACAGGGGAGGAAGCAGGTGGGTTATTACCTGTGCAACCCCAGTTACGAATAGCGGGACCCCCTCCGACGTCTCAATATTCTCACAGCGACACAGGATGGTCATAACCTCCAGAGATAGTCTGAGGAGCAGCCGGGGGAGGGGTGGGTAGGGAGAGGTAGGGGCAGGGTCGGGTGGGGGGACACAGCAAACACACACAGTGGTTACCAGACAAGCACCAATGCCTGATGCTGGGGGGCTGGGCGGTGACACTCTCCATACTTCAACCCCCCACTGCCAGCTCAGCCTTGGGCTGTGGGGAGACAGAGAAAACCCCAGCTGGCTTGAGCCCTCTGGGTCTCTTTTCTAGCCCCCACATCCTTCTAAAAAGGAGCTGCTGGGGGTTGAGGGTGAAGCCTATGAAAGCCCTGGGCCCATGTCCTGGGGTGGGAAGGCTTGGGGTCACCACCTCACTTTCACAGGAGATTCCCAGCAGTCTGGGACATTCAGCCTCAGCTCCACCCTCTGAACACAAGCAAACCTGTGTTTGCAGAAAGCGGGAGGGGGGAGGCTTCTGTGGGGATTATCGGCTCCTCCTCCTTGGGGCACATCCCCTGCTAAGTTATCACTAGGAAGGCAACTTAGGACCAGAAAAGGTCAAAGAAGATTTGGACCTTTTTTTTAAGATCTTGGACTTTTTGACTCAGGGGCGAGGTGTGTGTCACGGAAGGTTGGGGGAGAAGTGTGCCCCTGCCTGGACAGCTGCAAGGATGCGTGCAAGATGACGGTGCGAGGCACTGGGATTTCTAAAGCTGGACACAGGCAAAGACAGTCACAGTGAAAGATGCTCTCGGCCCATCCGTGCTGGGCCCCTGGGCTGGGCGCGTGAGTGTATGTGTGCAGGCTGGTGGGCCTGGCAAAGGCGGGCCTGTGGAAAGTGTGGAAGGTTTCCTTAAACCTGAGGAAAGGTTGCTGCAGTAGACAGAAGCAGGTGAACTGGGAGGGTGGAGGGTGGGAAGCAGCAGGCAATCTGGAGCCCCCTCAGCTCTCACTACGCCAGCACGGGCCCCATCTTGCAGATGTGCACAGGCTGCCTTCACTTGAGCCCCCAACACTGGCGCTCTTGGGCCTGAGAGGACTGCTGACCTGGCTCAGACAGGAACCCACCAAGCTCTCTTCTGGGGAAGGAGGAGAGGGACACGGAGGGAAGGGATGGGGGGAAGGAAGAAGAGACAGGAGGCTGCAGCTCAGATGCCAGAGGCAGAGGAATGGCTGGCTAAGGGCAGAGCGCGCCCACATCGGCCTCAGGAGAGCACAGAATGCAGCAATGAAGTGCAGCAGGAGGCATTCCCTGAGCCTGGAGGAAGAAAGGCTGTCGCTGAGGTGGTGACAGGTAGGGTGGCTGTGGAAAGCACCTTGGAGATCCAGCTAGGCTTTAGCAGCTTCTACTCTGACCTGAGAGGCTCCCAGGGCCTGAGGGGAATAAATGCCCCAGTCTGTGATATGTGCTCCAATTAACCTAGGGGGCAGGCAGTGGAGGAGCTGCCCCCCCCCCCCCCCCCCCCCCCCCCCCCCCCCCCCCCCCCCCCCGAACAGTGGCCAAAAGAGGAGGCTCCCCTAGCAAGCAACGGCTAGGGAGCGCACCGAGCCTGGGCTCGTGAGGTCAGTTTCCTAAGGTGAGGTCCATTTCCAAACCTGCTGTGGGGACACTTGGCCCTCCTGTCCTGGGGCTCTGCTCCCTGGAGAGAGAAGTGGGAACAGAACCAAGAATGTGGAGAAAGGTCCGCTGTGGACGCCCATGCAGGACAGGTTTCTGAGCAGGTTTTGAACTCTCTGGGGCTGGATGTCCCTGGCACCAGTGTCTCTACTGTCCCAGGACCTTATGGCATGTGGGGTGTGGTGGCAGCATCTCTAAAGGGGACACCCCATGCTACTGCTGGGCCACAGTCCCACTCAGGAATGCCTATATCTCCTGAGAGGAAGTTGTGGCCAGTATTGATTACTTTTTGACACTTTTGGCCTTGGACCAGAGGAAGTCTGCCAGGATTTCTCAAGTAGGGGGAGAGAGGGAGAACAGACGGAAGTCACTAGGAAGTCAGTAAAGTTAGAAGTTGCAGCCTGCTACTTGAGCTGACAGCCTTGGCGTCTTTGAAGCCCCAAGTACCACCTGTGCAGTATGGCTGTAGGGCTTCTCTCGACCCACTGGTGGGGGATTCCCACTGGAATCTCCACTGTCGCCTTTTGGGATGATCAACCCTTCCCACTCCCCCAGGTCTGCTGTCCCTGTTCTCTGGACTCTGGTTGGAAGGATCTAGGCCCATTCCCCTGACCTGTAACCATGAAGGGAGTGATGGTGGAGAGGTGGCTGGCATGACTCATCTCTCTTGGGTGGGCAATGAGGGTGGCAGGACAGGCCCAATCCAAACCTGATCACATCACCAGGGCCCCAAGGCTCCAGGCCCTGACCTCTGAGTGTGGACTCTGGGAAGCTGAAATCTCCCTTCCTCGTGTAGGTCTCGCCAGACTGACTGAGGAGACTGTCTTGTTCAGCCTCAGCACCAATTTCTTAGATCCCCACCCGTCTCTACCCTGTTGTCACAGAGCCACTTCAGGTTGTACGTCTCTGGCACTTAGCCCCTGCCTGGAGTATCCCTGGGACTGCACAGGTGCATGAGATATTTTTTCAGGGCCTCCCTGGTGGTGCAAGCGGTTGAAGTGTAGCACTGTAGCCGCTTCAGCACGAGTTCGATCCCCGGCCAGGGAGCTGACCCACATGGCACAGCAGACCTCTCCTGACCCGCCTGCTGCTCCCCTCAACAGTGTGCTTCATCATCTGCCTGTTCTGCTCCCCACTCTGTATCTTCAGCCTTTTCCTCCCACCTTAGACCCATTATCATTGAGGTGTAGAATTAAAACTTTGAGCTAGAATCAGGAACTGGGATTCTACCTGAGCACGACCCTGGATCCTCCAGGACAGATGGTGATGCCAGTCTCCAGTGGAAAAAGCAGACACTGGGGAAAAGATGGCTCTGGACGGACCTTCCTGGGCCACCCATTTCACCTGCTTCTTAGGAGGCCCCACCCTCAGAATGGAATGTGGCAAGTGGCAGATGCTCTAGCTGACCCGTGGGTGAAGGCAGGGATACCAGAAGGAAGCCCTTTCCTCCCTTGCCCATCACGACACCAGGGCCCCAAGGCTCCAGCCCTTACCTCTGAGTGTCGGAGATACACCACCAGGCCCAGGCCCAGCCGCCAAACACATACTGCTTATAGTCAGAACCACAACAGCCTCCTGGAGAACAAAGCACAAAACCCCTGCTGGTCAGTCTGTTCTTGGGCCTGTCTCCCCCTCCCTCCCACCGCAACTTTGACCTTTACCTGCTCTGAACATATGAGAGCCCCCACTTGGGGGGCCAGGGCAGAAGTTACACATGAATGGGAGACAAGCCTCTAAGGGGCACGGGATCTAGTTTGGTAGGTGGCAATCTGCAGGAGGCTCTCCAGTGACAGGGTCAGAAGTCTGTGCACGGGAATGGACAGGAGACACACCCACCTTTTGTTCAAGCATTCACTCAAAAACAAAGAAAGCATTTTTCTGTGCTGAGGATCTGGATATGAAGATACCTCTTGGAGGAGGAGGTGCAACTGGGAGGGGCCTTTTCCGGAGATAGCCGGAAAGCCATGTGATTTGCTTGTTAGGGTCCAGACAGAGAGGGGAGGCAGGGCACCTGACAGTAGGAAGCTGACAGGAGGGAGTCTCGAGCCAAGATGGGAGCCGGTGAGGCTGGTTCTCTATTTGCAAGGCCTTCACGGTGACTGTTCCTCTTATGGGCCAGATGGATGGGGGAAGATAAGGTCATACCAGTGGGAAAAGTGAAGAGAAAGAGCAACAGTCTAAAAAGGAAATGGTTCCTGAAAAGGAGGCATTAGCCAAACTGAATGTTGCATCTGGCCATGACCCAGATTCATGCCCTGGATGCCCTCCACACAGAGTAAGCAAAATCAATTCCTGAAACTCTTGTGATGATCCTACCTGCTAACACCAGAACGACTCATCCAGTTCAAGAAAACTTAGTAAAAGCTGGAGAGGCAGTTAAACTGAAGCACAAAGAAAAGTACAGGAAACAGATGGTTCAAAGGAAATGAGATGGGGGAAAGCCAAGGGGTGTCCTCGCTCCCTTGTTCACAAACCAGGACTTCAGGAAAGTCCTGGAGTGTGTTGCCTCCCAAGGTCAAGGTCTGAGTTAGTTTCTCATAATTGTGCTATAGCCTCTCTGGGAACACCAAGCAGGGAACAAGGTGGGATGCTGGGCAGGGGGGAGATCAGCGTCTCTGGTGGCAGATGGAGGGGTGTGTGTGGGGGGTGGTGAGCGAGCGAGGGAGAGAGAGAGAGAGGAGGAAAACACAGGGATATAATCTGGGAGCTACAAACTTTATATTTGTTCTTCTAAAACACTACTGCATGAAAGGAAACATTCTGGGGTCAGAGAGAATGGGTAGAAGCCTCTTAGAGTGATCCAGGCATGCTGTGGTCGCTAAGGTGGGAGGATAACTTCAGTCTTGTTCAAAAAAACTTTCTGCAAGAATAGGAATATTCTTTAGTGGCCCTGTACACTAAGGCAGCCACTAGCCACATGTGACTACTAAGCACATGAAATGTGACTGGTGGACTGAGAAACCGAAATTTTAATTTAACTAATTTCAATTTAAATAGCCACATAGCTAGGGGCTACTAAACTGGGTAGTGTAGGGCCTCTCTGGTGGCACAAGAGTTAAAGCTCAGTGCTACTAAGCTACCACCAGCCACTGTGGCATGAGTAGGCCCCGGACCTGACCCACATGGCGTGGCAGACCTCTCCTGACCCGCCCGCTCCTCCCCTCAGCAGTGTGCTTTGTCCATCTGCCTGTTCTGCTCCCCACTCTGTCTCTGGTGAGCCTCTCACCGCCCCTGCACCTCTGTCCTGTACCCAGTTCTTGTCTGCATAAACAAACAAACCTAAAAACAACAAAAAACTATAGCCAGTGTAGCCCTAGAGTTGGGGTTTGGGTAGGTGGGTGGTGAGGCCAACAACTAAAACGGAGGCAACGGCAACAGCAGCAAACAAGTTCTAGAAAGTGGGAACTGAAGGCACAAGGTCCTTCCAGTGCAGGGTCTGTCAGGTGAGAGCTGGCACCTGAGACTGCTCACTGGGTGCCAGCCCGGGTTCCTGGGCCTCTCCCCGTGCAAAATGCAAGTAGCTGAGTCAGAGGGGAGCAGGGGCAGGAGGAGGAAGTCTCAGATCATCATCAGTTTCTGTGTGCTGGAAATACCTGTCCGTAAGGTGGTAGCTCAGTCAGTCACGGCAGGTTTTTACTTTGGGGAGTAGGGCAAAGGACGCCTCTCAGGACAAGCAGTTAATGTGAAACTTAAACCTCCTTGGCTTCCTATGAAACCGAAGATGGTCCAAAATCTCGGCTAGTTCTACCTCTTCTGGCCTGATGGGGGCTGGGTGTAGTGTCTCTGGCCAGCTCCAGTATACTACTGCATGGGTGGTAGCAGGGGCGGGTGTGCACCCCACCTTTTATTTATTCTCTGACCTTGGGAGCCAACTGCCATAGCTCAAGTTGAGCCATAGCCAGCAAGGCCAGGTTCCAGGGTAGCAACAACAGGAAGCTGGACTGCCAGGCTGCCCCGCCCCCGGCTGGCTCCCCACCGGAAGGCATCTTCCTTCCACCTTCCGGGTCACACAGCCTGGGTACCGCAACACCTAAAAAAGGATACTTAGGTGTGTCTTCCTTGACCACCCTAGCTCCCACTGTCTTGGGATCTGGACATTTCTCCTAATTTTGTCACTTTAAAAAAATCCAACCTGCTTTATTTTTCTTTGTCCTCAACCAAACTGAAGACTCACAGGGTAACTAACTTCCACCCAACTCTTAGCTCCTACCCTGACACAGTCAGGGCAGTCTTCCCTTTCTGGCCCCTCACCCCATGTCTTGCCCTCTTCCATTTATTCTACCAGTCTAAAAAGACCATTTTGTGGCCTTTTCTGACAGGAAATCTCAGAATGTTTATAAACACACGAGAAACATCCTATTAAAAGTTATCAAAACAGGGCCCTCCCTGGTGGCGCAACATGCGAGGACGCAGCACTGCAAGCTGACCTCAGCCGCTCAGGTGCAAGTTAGATGCCCGGCCAGGGAGGTGACCCACATGGCTCCATGACCTGCCCGCTGCTCCCCTCAGCAGTATGTTTCAGTGGACCTGCCTGTTCTGCTCCCCACTCTGTCTCTGGTGAATCCTCTCACCGCCCCTGCACCTCTGGCCTGCACCCAAGTTCTGTATGCATAA